ACAGCTGTGATAGGTACCAGGTTGTTCTCTCCATGGCTGAGAGGCCAGCCGCACACTCTAGGGGTAAAGGCAACTCAGATAGAAAAGGGAGCACCAAATAAAGGGTGCTGGGAAGATCTGCCCAGGATGGGAGATGCCTGCTGAAAGTAGTCTATGGACTGAACATGATTGCCACGCAGTATCTCTTCTGCAGACCACAGCAACCAAAAGGAGAGATAGAACAAAACGGAGTACCCTGCCACAGAGGCAGGTGGGATGGGGGATCTCGGATGGGAGGGATACTGGGATTGGTGGGGGTGGAGAATGGGCACTGGTGGTGAGATGGGTACTCGATCATTGGATAACTGAAACCTAAGCACAAAAAAAGTTGTAAGTCTACAACCGTACCTCATGGTGCTTCACTAATAAAACAGACAAACAGAAAAGACCCTGAATGATCGGTTTGAGGATCTGCATATTCCTAGAAGGAGCAGATGCCACTGGGCTACGCTAGAACACAACAGGGATGAATGGAGATGTTACTGGCACCGCTCAAGTAAATCGATGAGTAACGGGGTATCAAGTGATCAAGCGATCAAGTGACTTTTAGTCTTTTAATTGTACAAATAATATTCAGTGTAGGAAAACTAAAAGATAAAGGTAAGATAATGATCTTTCTTAATTTTCACAGGTATATTTCCTTTGGAAAAAAATGTATGTTACAATACATTTTGCTCCCGAAAATCAATAAAAATGATCCAACAGCACCTGTGATCATCAGTGCTACTTTGTTATATACAAAATTATTTACATTCATTGCAATTTCACCTTCAAAATCTTTTTTGGGAGGAGGAGTACACCTAGCTGTGCCTAGAGCTTAGCCAGAGATCACTCTCGATCACCCTCTAGGGCTCCTGGGACCACACGAATGGGGAAGGAAACCAAGCTGGATGCATGCAAGGCAAGCACCCAACCTGCAGTACTAGTTCTATGCCTCCTCAATTCTCACAATCGTACTTGGTACCATTCATATTATTTTACTTTGAGGGAAAGGAGGGCTTTGGAATCACACAGGGTGTTACCTGGGGTGTACAAGGTGACTTCCATTTCTGGTCTTGGAAGTCACTCCTGATGGATGGTACAGAACGTATGATGCCAGGAATGGACCTGGGCATCTTGCTTTCAAAGGACACACCATCCTTTATATTAAGTCTGCAGCCCTGATGCTATTAAAGATTGCTTTAAGCACAGCAATTCCAAAATAACTAAACATCAGATTCAGGCATGCTGCTGATAACAGACTCATTATTGCTTGGGATTTTTTTTTCCATGAAAACAAACTTTCAGATTTTTTCACTCTGGAGCTTTCAGATTTTTTGACTCTGGAGAAGTCCATGTTCTCCCTTGAACAAGTATTTCTCTTCCCACTTTTTTTCTACTTTGGAGAAGCCCAAGTTTGCTCATGAACCCATATTCTTCACTTTCTCTCCCTTCACATCCAATTTCCAAATTTCTTACAATAATCTATTTTTGCTGCACTTAAAAAAAAAAAAGGATAGGGGAATGGTGCCGCCAGCAGGTCAATCTGTACCTGTGAGGCGAGTGCATCAGCAGCATGATGGCGCCTTCAGACATCCACATACCCCAAAATTGCTGCTGTGTCACACTTTACAATAGCCAGAATCTGAAAAAAAACCTGAGTGCCCGAGAACAGATGACTGGTCAAAGAAACTTTGGCACATTTACACAATGGAGTACTGTGTAGCTGTTAGAAAAGACGAAGTCATGAAATGTCCATACAAGTGGTACTACATGGAAAATATCATGTTAAGAAAAATGTCTCAGAAAGAAAGGAATAGACATAGAAAGAATGCATTCATCTGGGGAACATAAAGTAATAAAATAGGAGACTAACACCCAAGAATGGCCGAGATGAGTACCATGAATTTTCCTCCATGCCTTGGAGGCAAACCACACATGCTAGTGGAAAAGGGAGATCAGTTAGAGAAGGGAACACCAAATAAAGGTGTTGGGAGATTCCTCCCAGGATGGGAGAAGCATGCTGAAAGTAGACTATAGACCAAACATGACTGTCACCCATTGCCTCTTTTGCAAACCGCAACACCCAATAAGAGAGAGAGAACAAAAGGGAATGTCCTGCTACAATGGCAGGGTGGGATGAGGGGAATGGGGGGTGGGAGGGATCCTGGGATCCGTGGTGGTGGGAAATGGGCACTGGTGGAGAGATGGGTATTTGATCACTGTATAATTGAAACCCAAGCACAAAAATTTGTAAGTCTGCAACTGTACCTCACTAATAAAAAAATTCCTGCTGTGCGTTTGGCCAGACTCCAAAGACTTGGGCAAAGTTTACCAAGAAAGTACATGGCCAAAAGTTAGATATGTGGGAAACACACCCACAGAACACCTCCAGTTCAGCTATATAATTGGAGGCATGGCCTCTCTGGTTCCTGATTGAACTGTTTCATGGCCATGATCCCAGAAACTCAGAAACAAATCTCGAAACCCAGGGGCTTTTGGCAGAAATGCGTCTGGTCCCTGCAGTAGGTTACCAATGCTGGGACAATCCAGGTGGGAATAGGTTTCGTGCCTTGGCCTGTTCCCCTCGGCGGCGCAGTGGCCGCCATCCTTCAGAGGCCACTGGACAGTCAGGTTTGGACCCCAAGTGATGAGACATGCAGGGCCTTGCGGGATGGGGGTGGAGGCCGGGCCTGTCCACCCCACCCCATCGAGACCCCAAGTCATCGCCAACGAATGGCCTCTCGGTCTCCTGATAAAGCTGCTTAATGGCCATGATCCCGGAGACTCAGAAACAAACCTCGAAACCCAGTGGCAATTGGCAGAAGTACGTCCGGACCCCACAGTCCCTTACTGTGGGCGGGCCTCCCCAGGGAAGAAAGGGTGTTGTCACTCCGCCAGCTCCCTCTTGGCGGCTCGGAAGCCATCATCCTCCAGAGGCCACTGGACAGTCAGGCTTGGGCCCACAGTGATAAAATTTGTTTGGCCTCGCGGGATAGGGGGAGAGCCGGTCCTGTCCTCTCCACCCCAACAAGACCCCAAGTAATCGCTCATGAACGCCCTCTCTGGCTCCTAATCAAGCTGCTCAATGGCCATGATCCCAGACACTCAGGAGCAAATCTCGAAACCCAGTGGCCTTTGGGAGAAATCCATCCAGATTAGTGTTAAAATTTCAGGATTTCAAAACCACATGGCCCTACTGCAGCCACGCGACATCATATGTTATCCATAACCAGCAATAGATCACAAATTGTCTACTGTTGCCTTTTCAGCAAATCTGAGTGTTGGGGTAAAATCTCAAATAATAATGGTGGGTCTGGTGTCGAACTATTGAATGTGATCAAAGTAGAGAGAGAGTAATGTGGAAATCATCTGCCCCACAGGTAGAGGGAGGGTGTGGGATGGCGGTACATTGGAGATTTCGGTAGTGGAGAATGGGCACTGGTGAAGGTACGGGTGTTTCATTGTATGACTGAGACTTAGACCCAAAAGCTTTGTAACTGCTCTCACGGTGATTCAATAAATAAACTTATAAAAAATGAAAAAAAAATAGTAAGGTGGAGTTCATGCCCAATTAAATCACCTAATCAGTGGCCGAATAAATAGCAGTACACCTACATAAAAAAAAAAAGGAAAATAACTTTTTAGCAGCACATTCTTTCAAGTGGCTGCTCCCTGCTCTCCCCAGGGCCTTGAGTTCACCACATGAATAGAACTTCTGGGACAGGGAGAACAGCAGCAGTCCAGAGGGGGCTGCACAGAGAGCAAGCCCTGCTGCCAGGGCCAGAGTTGACCTGCCTCCCTGTGATGTGCCCGATGACATCACCGACCTCTCTTTGTGATGCAACCAGACATTCTGCAGCCTCCCCAACTGCCCCCATACTCATTACTTGGTTCACTGCGGAAACGCACAGACAGCAAACATGTTTTGCTATTTACCAAGAAATCGTGGTTGTAAAACCCCCAAGTGTAGGACACTGAAAAGATTCAGAAACTGGGTGAGGACTCATTGGAGAACTCCCCGGAATTCTTCACGAAGACAGCCGCTAGTTCAGGTCAGCAGGAACTGGCCCGGGCAGCCCCAGCACTGATGACCGTGATCAGTCTTCATCTCCTCCCTGAGTGTGATGGCGCAGAAGCTCTGAGTGTGGAAGAGTGTGCACACCCGGGTGTGAACGTGTTTATCGGAGGGAGTAAATTTGCGTGTGTACTGGAGATGGTGTGTGTGTGTGAGTATGTGTATTTGTGTATGTACGTGTGTCTGTGTGTGTTGTGAGAACATCTTGAGGGCAGCCTGCTCCTAGCAGGTGAGTCATCAAACCTAGCCCCCCAAGGCCTGGTCACTGCTCACTGAGTTGGCACTAGGAGGTGCTCTTTGGCCAAGACTTTTCTAAACTTGATTGTTTCAATCTCATTCCTATGGGAGGTCTGTGTAGATGCAGGTCCACCAGCAGGGAGGAACTCAGAAGGGAGGGGGAAGCAGCGCTTCTGGAGCTGAGCCTTTGTGGTTCTCCCTCCAAAGAGCAGCCCACTGGAGAGAGAGAAGATCTTCTACATATCCTCTGGGTCCAGTTCCTCTGAAGAAAGTCTGGAATCAGCCAGCACCAAGCAGAGCCAGACACCATCTAAGCAGAAAGTTGAGATTGGCCAAGGATTGTCAACTCCCCAAAGAGCACCGCGTTCAGTGCCTTGGCCTTACACATATGGCAGGGAACGAGACTCAGAGCACCAGAAGAAAACGGGTAAGAACCAAGGGGTGTGTGTATATGCACAAGTAAAGGGGGAATGGGAAAAGGCCCACCTAGAGGTGTCCTGGGCGCTGGTGTGGGAAAGGAGAGTCACAGGCCGGAGAGCCCATTCTGGGGAGGCCTCCACAGGAAACCCCCGTGAGGTGGGCCCATGGTCTCCCCTTCCTGCTGGGCTCCCTGTTGGGGTCAGCTTTGGAGAATCCATGGAAGGAGCCATCTGGGTGACCTTTTCTCTTACTGATTCTTTAGCTCCAGCTCTGAAAGCATACTTGGCTCCGTGTCAAAGGACAGCGCCGTCACTGATCTCTCGAGCACCAGCTGCACGGCCACCCGCTGTGGCAACATTGGACAAGTTCCCAGAGGACCTAGCATGTCTACAACTGGAAGAAGCCCAGGGTCTCACATCAGTGTCTCTGTCTGGAGACCCTCCCACCAATGAGTATCTTGCCTTGGTATATTTTATGATTTGTATTCTTTGTTTTTACTTTTTCTGTTATATTTTCATTTAAATAAATTGTGATTGCTACTCTTTACAAGCATCCAGTTGCATTTTTTTTGTTTTTGGGTCACACCCAGAGAGCACAGGTGTTACTCCTGGCACTTCACTCAGGAATTACTCCTGGCGGTGCTTGGTGGACCATATGGGATGTTGGGAATCGAACCCAGGTCTGTCGCGTGCAAGGCAAATGCCCTACCTACTGTGCTATCACTCCAGCCCCGCATCCAGTTGCATTGTAACACAGTCTTCATTTGTTCTGGCATTCTTGAAAATATTCATCCAACATAGAAGACAACTCATCTTCATGTTCCTGATATAAATAAAAGACAAATTAGAAAATACATTGATTTCTCCGCAGACCCAATATGTATTGACCTACTGTTCAGGCAATGCTCTATAATACCCAGTAGTAGTGCTAATAGATATTCATGAACAAAATTGGTGCAAACGAGACAGCACAGGGGGTGGGGCACTTGCCTTTTCTGAACCGGGGGCCCAAAGCACCATCAGGTTCTGGAGCACAAAAGCCACGTAGTCTGCAACCAGGGTTTTGGTTCACTGTATCACTGTCCTCCCATTGTTCTTCAATTTGCTCGAGCGGGTCCAGTAACGTCTCCATTGCAGACTTTGTTGTTACTGTGTTTGGCATAACAAATATGTCATGGGTAGCTTGCCAGGCTCTGCAGTGCGGGCGAGATACTCTCGGTAGCTTGCCGGGCTCTCTGAGAGGGGTAGAGGAATCGAACTCGGGACGGCCATGTTGGCTGTGTGCAAGGCAAACGCCCTACCGCTGTGCTATATATATATATATATAAACACACAAGGCTCAACCTTTTACAACATGTTAGTGATCTCTTACAGAAGGGCCTAACGGCCCCTGGGTAGAATACACACTCCTTCCTCTAAGGATACTTTTTTTATAGGATTTTCAGCGATTTCTTTTGGGGGGGGTCATACCTGTCGATGCACAGGAATTTCTCCTGGCTCTGCACTCAGGAATTATCCCTGGCTAATGGTGCTCAGGGGACCATATGGGATGCTTGGAATCGAACCCAGTTTCGCCGCGTGCAAGGCAAACGTCCTACCCACTGTGCTATCACTCCAGCGCCCTGGCAGTTTTTCATATCAAACAATACAAGAGAATAGATTATTTCAGTTCTGCTTTGGGACAGGGATTGGGGTTCGGGATAGAGCTACCCAAAATATGGTGGTGAGAAGGTGTAATGGTGGTGGGATTGGAGTCTGAGTATTGAATGTAATCAACTATTGTAAAACACTTTATAAAATAAAAAAATTGCGGAGTTGGAGCGATATGACAGTAGGCAGGGCATTTACCTTGATTCCCAGCATCCCCTATGGTCCTCTGAGCACCACCAGGAGGAATTCCTGAATGCAGAGCCAGGAGGAAACCCTGCACATCACCGGGTGTAACCCAATAGCAAATAATAATAATAATAATTTTAAAAAATGAGGGTGGTAGGGAATAACTTATTGCGGAATAAACACTCTCTGCTCGTCCCCCAGAGTCCCGCTGCCCGGCCCCCCACCAACTTGCATTTTCTTTTCTATTCTTAAATTTAATTTCTTTTTTAAAATTTTTATTTTTTCTAGAAATGTAGATGCTTTATTGCCATATATATTTTTATAATCATAAGACATTACCATCTTGATGTGAAATGAGTTGGTCTAATGTGCATTTAATTAGGTGCTAATAACTATTGTACAGCATGATAATTAGACTAAAGTAGCATTTCATACTGTCATCACCTTTTACACATATAGATTATTTTCACAATCGTATCACAGCTTTCTCATCTATGCAAGCCATTTGTGTGGAAAATTTTTACAAAATTAGATACATATATATTCAATTATAATCGTCAATCATTAAAGCACTCAAGTTTTCAGATACACAGACAATCATGCTTGCTATAGACTAGAAACCTTCATATTTGGAATGTTATTGATGCCAAACACTTCATGCTACATTGGATTTTTTAAATTTTTTAATTTTTTTACATTTTTTAATTTTTAATTAAATTTTAATTTTTAATTAAAATTACATTTTTAATTTTTCCATTTTTACTTTGTTTTTTAAATTTTTTTACTTTTTAATGAATTTAATAAATTAGATTTAAAATTAAATTAAAATTTAATTTTAATTTTTAATTAAGTTTTAATTTTTAATTAAAAATTACATTTTTAGATTTTTCCATTTTTACTTTGTTTTTTAAAATTTTTTACTTTTTAATAAATTTAATAAATTAGATTTAAAATTAAATTAAATTTTAAATTTTAATTTTTAATTAAAAATTACATTTTTAAATTTTTCCATTTTTTCTTTGTTTTTTTAAATATTTTACTTTTTAAGGAATCACTGATAATCACTTGATTATCACTTGATTATCACACCAAGCTCCCGGGAGAGAATAAGGCAGAGACTCCTACCCCGTGCATGACTCTCCTCACCAGGGCCAATAGCAGAAGACCTCCGGCACCAGGCCAAAGTCATGCTGAGACCACTCTCCACACGCTTGAATGAGCTTCACGCATAAAGGAACTGGCAGAGGAACCCAGGTGTGGGGCACCCGGGGCTGAGATCTCCAAGCCTACACGGTTTGAGACTCGACCTTCCAGTAGCTAGACAGTTACACCCACCAACTGCCGTGTAACCCCAACAACTGCCAGGATACAGAGATTATCACACCAAGCTCCCAGGACTTTTTATTTATGTATGTTTTGGTTATTCTTTTTTTGTTTTGATTTTGAGTTCTTGAGCCAGACCCAGAGATCAGCCAGAAAGTGCCAGGTTCTTGCTGCACCCAAGACTTTAACTTAAGGAGCTGCTTAGATCAAACAGAAGGGCAGAGGTTTTCAGGGCAATCCTGGCTCTGCTCAGGGACCAGACATGAAATGGGGAACTGACCCAGGGTCAGCCTAGGGGAGGCAGAGAATGGTCTTTCCCTCTGCGCCGTTCTCTGGCCCTGGCAAATCTAAATTGTCACAAATTACCTTGGGTTCTTTGAATTCCAGGTCTTCTCCATACTGAATGGCAAAATCAATGTGCTGTAATACAATGTTCATGCTTTCTTCATCTGACAGATCGTAAGGCAAACGTCGGACCATGCTGTAGTCATCAATCTACAAATTAGAGATTTCAGAAAGGTCATTCAACTGACGCTTGAGTGTGAACATTGGTAGTCTAATTAAAACCTTATATGCCTGTGCAGGGAGGAGCAGACAGAAAAACAGCAAATCAGCATTAATTTTTTTATGATCTCTGACCTATTGGAACACTAGTAACTTTACAATATTACTTAAATAAAGACTTTTTTTAAAAATTTTTGGGTCATTCCCAGTGATGCACGAGGGTTACTCCTGGTTCATCCACTCAGGAATAACTCCTGGTGGTCCTCAGAGGACCTATGGGATGCTGAAAGAGGAAGCAGGAAAGGGACAATGAATTAGTTGTCACCAACAGTCTCCACATAAAAGGTTTCTGATCCCCACTGGAACAAAACCTACCTAAACTGGAGAAACGCTAAGATTGGGGCCCGAGCAAGAGTCCAGGCTTTAAGGCGCTTGCCTTGCGCCTGGTCAGCCCAGGTTCTAGCCCGGCACTCCACAGGGTTCCCAGAGCACTACCTAAGTGATTCCTCGGCACAGCACCAGTAGTGAGCCCTGAGGACTGCCAGGCATGGCCTAACAGAAGACTGCTGGGCCAATAGCTGACCTTAGGATTCTAAAGGTGAGATGGGAAGGAGAAATGCGATCTATAGTGACCACACTTCTCCATTCAACAATATTTTAAAGTGTTCAGGAGGTAGCTGGGGTTGAGTTCAGTACTGAGGAAACATGTAGTGACAAAGATTAAAAGCAGGTGGGCCACATCAAGGCGAGCTCCTTAAACCCTGTACTATTTTTTTTGGGGGGGCGGAGGGTGGTAATACCTGGCAATGCACTGGGGTTACTCCTGGCTCTGCACTCAGGAATTACTCCTAGTGGTGCTGAGGCATGCTAGGTATAGTGCAGGTGTGTGTACAACTCAATCTGACCTACAAGAAAACAAGCTTATTATAAACATGAAATACATTCAACCATCAATGATGGCATAAAAACTTTCCCCATAAACTGTCTTAGGGGGCTTGAGAGATAGTATAGAGGGTGGGAACTTGCCTTGCACACAGCCAACCTGCGTTCTATCCCATAGGGTCCCTTGAGCACAGCCAGGAGTAATTCCTGAGCACAGGAGCTAGGAGTAACCCCTGAGCATCATCAGATACGGCACCCGCGGTGCCCCCCAAATTTTTTAAAGGAAGTCAATCCCTACAAGTAATATATCCAATTTTGCTTGTTTTAAGCCGCACGTGGGGATGCTTGAGGGTCTCTCCGAAACTGCTGGGAGGGCTCGAGGCTACTCAGAGTCCTACATGCAAGGCCTACTACATGTAAAACATGTCCCCAGCCCACTATCTATCTAGCCCTATACTATATTCAAACAAACAAACAAAGAAGACCCTGGATGATCGGTTTGAGGCTCTGCATATTCCTAGAAGGAGCAGATGCCACTGGGCTACGCTAGCACGCAACAGAGATGAATGGAGACGTTACTGGCACCCGCTCGAGTAAATCGATGAGTAACTGGGTATCAAGCGATCAAGTGACTTTTAGTCTTTTAATTGTACAAATAATATTCAGTGTAGGGAAACTAAAAGATAAAGGTAAGATAATGATCTTTCTTAATTTTCACAGGTATTCTTCCTTTGGAAAAAAATTGTATGTTACGTTTTGCTCCCCAAAATCAATAAAAATTATCCAAGAGCACCTGTGACCATCAGTGCTAGTTTGTTACATACAAAATTATTTACATTCTTTACAATTTCACCTTCAAAATCTTTTTTGGGAGGAGGAGTACACCTAGCTGTGCCTAGAGCTTAGCCAGAGATCACTCTCGATCACCCTCAGGGGCTCCTGGGACCACATGCAGTAATCGGGTAGGAACACAAGATGGATGCTTGCAAGGCAAGCACCCAATCTGCAGTACTAGTTCTATGCCTCCTCAATTCTCACAATCGTACTTGGTGCTATTCATTTCTTTTACTTTGAGGGAAAGGAGGGATTTGGGATCACACAGGGTGGTACCTGGGGTGTTCAAGGTGATTTTCATCTCTGGTCTTGGAAGTCACTCCTGACGGATGGTACAGAACGTGTGGTGCCAGGAATGGACCTGGGCATCGTGCACTCAAAGGACACACCTGCCTTTATATTAAGTCTGCAGCCCTGATGCTATTAAAAGATTACTTCAAGCAGCAGCAATTCCAAAATAAGTCAACATCAGATTCAGGCATGCTGTTGATAACAGACTCTTTATTCCTTGGGATGGCTTCGGATTTTTTTTTTCCATGAAAACAAGCTTTCAGATTTTTTCACTCTGGCGCTTTCAGATTTTTTCACTCTGGATAAGCCCATGTTCTCCCTTGAACAAGTATTTCTCTTCCAACTTTTTTTCTACTTTGGAGAAGCCTATGTTTGCTGATGAACCCATATTCTTCACTTTCTCTCCCTTCACATCCAATGTCCAAATTTCTTACAATAATCTATTTTTGCTGCACTTTAAAAAAAAAAGGACAGGGATATGGTGCCCCCAGCAGGTCAATCTGTACCTATGAGGCGAGTGCATCGGCAGCCTGATGGCGCCTTCACACTTCCAGATACCCCAAAATTGCTGCTGTGACACTCTTTACAATAGCCAGAATCTAGAAAAAACCTGAGTTCCCGAGAACAGATGACTGGTTAAAGAAACTTTGGCACATTTACACAATGGAGTACTATGTAGCTGTTAGAAAAGACGAAGACACGAAATTTCCATACAAGTGGTAAGACATGGAAAGTATCATGTTAAGCGAAATGACTCAGAAAGAACGGGATAGACATAGAAAGATTGCATTCATCTGGGGAACATAAAGTAATAAAATAGGAGACTAACATCCAAGAATGGCCGAGATGAGTACCAGGAATTTTATTCCATGGCTTGGAGGCCAGCCACACAGGCTAGGGGAAAAGGGAGCTCAGATAGAGAAGGGAACACCAAATAAAGGTGTTGGGAGGATCCTCCCAAGATGGGAGAAGCATGCTGAAAGTAGACTATAGAACAAACATGACTGTCACCCATTGCCTCTTTTGCAAACCGCAACACCCAATAAGAGAGAGAGAACAAAAGGGAATGTCCTGCTACAATGGCAGGGTGGGATGAGGGGAATGGGGGGTGGGAGGGATCCTGGGATCCGTGGTGGTGGGAAATGGGCACTGGTGGAGAGATGGGTATTTGATCACTGTATAATTGAAACCCAAGCACAAAAATTTGTAAGTCTGCAACTGTACCTCACTAATAAAAAAATTCCTGCTGTGCGTTTGGCCAGACTCCAAAGACTTGGGCAAAGTTTACCAAGAAAGTACACGGCCAAAAGTTAGATATGTGGGAAACACACCCACAGAACACCTCCAGTTCAGCTATATAATTGGAGGCATGGCCTCTCTGGTTCCTGATTGAACTGCTTAATGGCCATGATCCCAGAGACTCAGAAACAAATCTTGAAACCAGGGGCTTTTGCCAGAAATGCGTCTGGTCCCTGCAGTAGGTTACCAGTGCTGGGCCAATCCAGGTGGGAATAGATTTCGTGCCTTGGCCTGTTTCCCCCAGCGGCCCTGTGGCCGCCATGCTTCAGAGGCCACTGGACAGTCAGGTCTGGGCTCGCAGTGACGAGACGCGCGGGGTCTCACAGGATGGTGGTGGAGCCACCCTTTTCCTGCCTATCCCAACAAGACCCTGAGTCGCTGCCTACAAATGGCCTCTTTGGCTCCTGATCAAGCTGCTTACTGGCCATGATCCCAGAGACTCAGGTGCCAATCTCGAAACCCAGTGGCCTTTGGCAGAAATCCCTCCAGATTTGTGTTAAAATTTCAGGATTTCAAAATCACATGGCCCTACTGCAGCCGCGCAACATCATATATTATCCATAACAAGCAATAGATCACAAATTGTCTACTGTTGCCTTTTCAGCAGATCTGAGTGTTGGTGTAAAATCTCAAATAATAATGGTGGGTCTGGTGTCGAAATATTGAATGTGATCAAAGTAGAGAGAGAGTAATGTGGAAATCATCTGCCCCACTGGTAGGGAGAGGGTGTGTGATGGGGGTATATTGGGGAATTTGGTAGTGGAGAGTGGGCACTAGTGAAGGTACGGGTGTTTCATTGCTTGACTGAGACTTAGACCGGAAAGCTTTGAAACTGCTCTTACGGTGATTCAATGAAGACAATGATAAAAATTGAAAAAAAGAGAGTAAGGTGGAGTTCATACCCAATTCAATCAGCTAATCAGTGGCCCAATATATAGCAGTACACCTATATTTTTTTAAAAAAAGGAAAATCATTTTTTAGCAGCACATTCTTCAAGTGGCTGCTCCCTGCTCGCCTCAGGGCCTTGAGTTCACCACATGGACAGGACTTGTGGGAAGAGGGAGAGCAGCAGCAGCCCAGAGGGGGCTGCGCAGAGAGCAAGCCCTGCTGCAGGGCCACAGCTGACCTGTCCTCGCTGTGATGCGCTCGATGACATCACTACCCTCTCTTTGTGATGCAACCAGACATTCTGCAGCCTCCCCAACTGCTCCCATACTCATTACTTGCTTCACTGCGGAAACGCACAGACAGCAAACATGTTTTGCTGTTTACCAAGAAATCGTGGTTGTAAAAGCCCCAAGTGTAGGACACTGAAAAGATTCAGAAACTGGGTGAGGACTCACTGGAGAATTCCCCGGAATGCTTCACGAAGACAGCCGCTAGTTCAGGTCAGCAGGAACTGGCCCTGGCAGCCCCAGTACTGATGCCCGTGATCAGTCTTCATCACTCCCTGAGTGTGATGGCGCAGAAGCTGTATGTGTGTGGAAGAGTGTGCACACCCGTGTGTGAACGTGTTTATCGGAGGGAGTAAATTTGAGTGTGTACTAGAGATGGTGTGTGTGTGAGAGTATGTGTATTTGTGTATGTACATGTGTCTGTGTGTGTGTTGTGAGATCATCTTGAGGGCAGCCTGCTCCTAGCAGGTGAGTCATCAAATCTAGCCCCCACGGCCAGGTCACTGCTCACTGAGTTGGCAGGAGGAGGTGCTCTTGGGCCAAGACTTTTCTAAACTTGATTGTTTCAGTCTCATTCCTATGGGAGGCCTGTGTAGATGCAGGTCCACCAGCAGGGAGGAACTCAGAAGGGGGGGTGGGGGGGGGGGGGAAGCAGTGCTTCTGGAGCTGAGCCTTTGTGGTTGTCCCTCAGCAGAGCAGCCCACAGGAGAGAGAGACGCTCCCTCCGCAGAGCAGCCCACGGGAGAGAAAGAAGATCTTCTACATATCCTCTGGGTCCAGTTCCTCTGAAGAAAGTCTGGAATCAGCCAGCACCAAGCAGAGCCAGACACCATCTAAGCAGAAAGTTGAGATTGGCCAAGGAGTGTCAACTCCCCAAAGAGCACCGCGTTCAGTGCCTTGGCCTTACACATATGGCAGAGAACGAGACTCAGAGCACCAGAAGAAAACGGGTAAGAACCAAGGGGTGTGTGTATATGCACAAGTAAAGGGGGAATGGGAAAAGGCCCACCTAGAGGTGTCCTGGGCGCTGGTGTGGGAAAGGAGAGTCACAGGCCAGAGAGCCCATTCTGGGGAGGCCTCCACAGGAAACCCCCGTGAGGTGGGCCCATGGTCTCCCCTTCCTGCTGGGCTCCCTGTTGGGGTCAGCTTTGGAGAATCCATGGAAGAAGCCATCTGGGTGACCTTTTCTCTTATTGATTCTTTAGCTCCTGCTCTGAAAGTATACTTGGCTCCGTGTCGAAGGACAGCGCCGTCACTGATTTCTCGAGTACCAGCTGCACGGCCACCCTCTGTGGCAACATTGGACAAGTTCCCAGAGGACCTAGCATGTTTACAACTGAAAGAAGCCCAGGGTCTCACATCAGTGTCTCTCTCTGGATACCCTCCCACCAATGAGTATCTTGCCTCGGTATATTTTATGATATTTATTCTTTGTTTTTACTTTATCTGTTATATTTTCATTTAAATAAATTGTGATTGCTACTCTTCACAAGCATCCAGTTGCATTTTTTTTTTTCGGTTTTTGAGTCACACCTGGAGAGCACAGGTGTTACTCCTGGCTCTTCACTCAGGAATTACTCCTGGCGGCGCTTGGTGGACCATATGGGATGTTGGGATTCGAACCCAGCTCTGTCGCGTGCAAGGGAAATGCCCTACCTACTGTGCTATCACTCCAGCTCCGCATCCAGTTGCTTCGTAACACACTCTTCATTTGTTCTGGCATTCTTGAAAATATTCATCCAACATAGAAGACAACTCATCTTCATGTTCCTGATAGAAATAAAACACAAAATAGAAAATACGTTGATTTCTCCGCAGACCCAGTATGTATTGACCTACTGTTCAGGCAATGCTCTATAATACCCAGTAGTAGTGGTAATAGATATTCACTAACAAAATTGGCGCGAACGAGACAGCACAGGGGTGGGGCACTTGCCTTTTCTGAACCGGGGGCCCAAAGCACCATCAGGTTCTGGAGCACAAAAGCCACGAAATCTGCAACCAGGGATTTGGTTCACTGTATCACTGTCCTCCCATTGTTCTTCAATTTGCTCGAGCGGGTCCAGTAACGTCTCCATTGCAGACTTTGTTGTTACTGTGTTTGGGATATCAAATACATCATGGGTATCTTGCCAGGCTCTGCCATGCGTGCGAGATACTGTCGGTAGCTTGCCGGGCTCTCTGAGAGGGGTGGAGGAATCGAACTCGGGTTGGCCATGTTGGCTGTGTGCAAGGCAAATGCCCTACCACTGTGCTATATATATATAAACACACAAGGCTCAACCTTTTACAACATGTTAGTGATCTCTTACCGAAGGGCTTAACGGCCCCTGGGTAGAATACACACTCCTTCCTCTAAGGATACTTTTTTTATAGGATTTTCAGCGATATTTTTCGGGGGGCCATACCTGTCGATGCACAGGAATTTCTCCTGGCTCTGCACTCAGGAAATATCCCTGGCTAATGGTGCTCAGGGGACCATATGGGTTGCTTGAAATCGAACCCAGTTTGGCCGCATGCAAGGCAAACGTCCCACCCACTGTGCTATCACTCCAGCGCCCTGGCAGTTTTTCATATCAAACAATACAAGAGAATAGATTATTTCAGTTCTGCTTTGGGACGGGATTGGGGTTCGGGATAGAGCTACCCGAAATATGGTGGTGAGAAGGTGTAATGGTGTTGGGATTGGAGTCTGAGTATTGAATGTAATCAACTATTGTAAAACACTTTATAAAATAAAAAATTGGGGGAGTTGGAGCAATATGACAGTAGGCAGGGCATTTACCTTGCAAGTGGCCCCTGAGGTTTGATTCCCAGCATCCCCAATGGTCCTCTGAGCACCACCAGGAGGAATTCCTGAGTGCAGAGCCAGGAGGAAACCATGGGCATCACCGGGTGTGACCCAAAGGCAAAATAATAATAATAATAATAATAGTTTTAAAAAATGAGGGTGGTAGGGAATAAGTTATTGCACAATAAACAGTCTCTGCTCTTCCTCCAGAGCCCCAGCCGCACGGCTCCCCACCAAATCCCATTTTCTTTTCTTAAATTTAATTTTATTTTTAAAATTTTTAAGTTTTTGAATTTTCCCATTTTTAACCGGGAGAGAACAACGCGGAGACTCCTACCCCGTGCCTGACTGTCCTCACCAGGGCCAACAGCAGAAGACGTCCGGCACAAGGCCAAAGTCATGCTGAGACCACTCTCCACACGCTTGGATGGGCTTCACGCATAAAGGAACTGGCAGAGCAACCCAGGTGTGGGGGACCCGGGGCTGAGATCTCCAAGCCTACACAGTTTGGGAATGGACCTTCCAGTACCTAGACAGTTACACCCACCAACTGCCGTGTAACCTGAACAACTGCCAGGATACATAGATTATCACAACAAGCTCCCAGTACTTTTTATTTAGGTTTATTTATTTATATTTTGGTTACTCTTTATTTCCTGGTTTTGGTTTTGAGTTCCTGAGCCACACCCAGATATCAGCCAGAACGGGCCAGGTTCTTGCTGCCCCCAAGACTTTAACTTAAGGAGCTGCTTAGATCAAACAGGAGGGCAGAGGTTTTCAGGGCAATCCTGGCTCTGTGCTCAGGGACCAGACATGAAACGGGGAACTGACCCAGCGTCACCCTAGGGGAGGCAGAGAATGGTCTTTCCCTCTGCGCCGTTCTCTGGCCCTGGCAAATCTAAATCGTCAGAAATTACCTTGGGTTCTTTGAATTCCAAATCTTCTCGTACTAAATGGCAAAATCAATATGCTGTAATACAATGTTCATGCTTTCTTCTTCTGACGGATCGTAAGGCAAAAGTCGGACCCTGCTGTAGTCATCAATGTACAAATCAGAGATTTCAGAAAGGTCATTCAACGGACGCTTGAGTGTGAACATTGGTAGTCTTATTAATACCATCTATGCCTCTGCAGGGAGGAGCAGACAGAACAACAGCAAATCAGCATTAATTTTTTATGACATCTTACCTATTGGAACACTAGTAACATTACAACATTACTTAACTAAAGACTTTTTGGAGCGATAGCACAGCGGTAGGGCGTTTGCCTTGCATACAGCCAACATGGCCGACCCGAGATCGATTCCTCCACCCCTCTCGGAGAGCCCGGCAAGCTACCGAGAGGATCTCGCCCGCACGGCAGAGCCTGGCAAGCTCCCGGTGACGTATTCCATATGCCAGACACAGTAACAACAAAGTCTCCAATGGAGACGTTACTGGGCCCGCTCGAGCAAATCGAAGATCAACGAGAGGGCCTTTACTTTACTTTACTTTACTTTACACCTGGTGATGCACAGGGGTTACTCCTGGTTCATATACTCAGGAATAACTCCTGGTGGTGCTTAGGGGACCTATGGATGCTAGGAATCAAACCCGGGTCGGACGCATGCAACGCATACGCCCTACCTGCTATGCTATCGCTCCTGCCCCGACCCGAGACTGGGACTTCTTTTATTGTAATTTATCTGCATTCAACAACCACTGAAAATTTCAAAAGGGTACAGGCAATTCTCATGTGCCAAGTGGCCAGGAAAAAAAGACATTGCAGAATTTCTCTGCTGTGGGACGGGAGAGCTCGTACACTGAGTTGGGCACTTGCCTTGCACATAGGCAAGGGATGCACCCGGGTTCGATCCCCCGCATCCCGTATGCTCCCGGAGCCCACCAGGAATGATTTCTGGAGGCAGAGCCAAGAATAAACTCTGACCACTGCTCAGTGTGACCTCCTGCCCTCTCTGCTACAACCAATGACAACTTTTTTCAGAGGTGAGGGGAGGCCACATCCAGACAACGCTGGTGGCGACCATATGGTGCCAGAGATTAACCCTGGGCCCCTTGTTTGCAAAGCCAGTGGTGCTGCCCACTGAGCTCTCTCCCTACTTCTATACTAACTTCGAAGCAGACAGCCGACCGCTCCCAACATGCTGCTCCCCTAAAAAATAAATGCGCTGGTCTCTGCCGTCCATATGGTGACCACTGCCGGGCGGTGTGTAAGCATGTGACAAGACCATTAAGAAAAATATGGGTCTAGGGAGGTGCGGGGGGAGGTGATGAAGAGCTACGACAGGGGTTACAACTGGCCTGCACCCCACACACCTCAGTTTGAACACCCAGCACCACATATGGTCCACCAGGCACAGGGGAGAAACAGCCCCTGAGCACCACCAGGTGTGGCCCTCAAACCTTAAAAACAACCCACAACAACCCCAAACACTTGCAAAACTCATCAGCCCGGGGATTAGCACAGGGCTTGATTCTTGCCAGCAGATGGCATCCTGAACATTGCTGGGTACAGCCAGGAAGCAACCAATACTGCTGGTACGGCCCTCTGGGCCCCAGCACTGACCACTACTAGCCTGGTGGGCCAATAATCAGAGTGCCCCCTAGGCCCCCCAGCACAGGAGGCCCGCACCCCCAACCACCAAAAATTGTAAAAATACAAAGTCTTACCAGCCCACATATGGCGTTAGTCAATTTATTGAATTTTTTGCTTCTGAAGTTACTTGTAGAATCATCTAATAAAGAATACATGCCTGGATCTAGAAACCTTTAAACATGAGTGACTGGTGAATGAAAGAATCCTAAACACTAAATTTGTAGACTGACAATCAAAGTGAAACAAAAAAGTTTCAGCACTGCAAATGTGACATTAATTATTGTGAACTTACTTCTCAATTTCCTTTTTAGCTCTTTTACGCAGCAGGTCCATTTTTGTCATGATATTAACTTGCGGGATTTCTAGAGATACCATAGCATTCAAGGCTGCCAAGATGCCAGAAACAAACTGAAAGAAGACGCAGAAAAGGGACAATGAATCAGTTGTCACCAACAGTGTCCACGTAAAAGGTTTCTGATCCCCACTGGAACAAAACCCACCTAAATAGGAGAAACGCTAAGATTGGAGCCCAAGCAATAGTCTAGGCTTTAAGGCACTTGCCTTGCTCCTGGTCAGTCCAGGTTCTAGCCCAGCACTCCATAGGGTTCCCAGAGCACTACCTAAGTGATTCCTCAGCCCAGCGCCATTAGTGAGCCCTGAGCACTGCCAGGCATGGCCAAACAGAAGACTGCTGGGCCAATAGTTGACCTTAGGATTTTAAAGGTGAGATGGGAAGGAGAAATGCGATCTATAGTGACCACACTTCTCCATTCAACGATATTTTAAAGTATTCAGGAGGTAGGTGGGGTTGAGTTCAGTACTGAGGAAACATGTAGTGACAGGGATTAAAAGCAGGTGGGCCACATCAAGGCGAGTACCTTAAGCCCTTTACTATTTTTTGGGGGGGAAGGGAAGGGTGGTAATACCTGGCAATACACAGGGGTTGCTCCTGGCTCTGCAGTAAGGAATTACTCCTAGTGGTGCTGAGGCATACTAGGCATCAAACCCGGATTGGCTGTGTGCAAGGCCCTACCGGCTGTATTATCACTCCAGCCCCCATTTTTAAAATTTATTTATTTATTTATTTTTGGGAAGCCCTGTACTATTTCTGACCCTTTAACATTATCTTCTCTCATGCTCCCCCTCCACCTCCCCTGATGGGTATTTCCTTTTGGGTTTCTGGGTCACACAATCCCCTGATATAACTAGTGGGTCACTTCGGCTTCTGCACTCAGGAGTTACTCCTGACCAGCTTTGGGAACCATATGGGTGCTGGAGACGGAACCAAACGGCCTCCCTTTCAGTTTTGGGGAATACCCAGTAGTACTCTGAGCTTTGTGATCAAGGATCACTCCTGGAGCGGCTAAGGGGGCCCGGTGGCAGTACGGCAGGGATGACACCCAGGCTGGTCACATGCAAGGCAAGAGCTCTACCCACTGTACTAACTCTCCAGCCTCCAGCTTTCTTTTTTTCCCTAGTTTTGGAGCCACACACAGTGGTGCTTGGGACTTACTTCTGACACCGCCCTGGGACGACTCCTGAAGGCGACAGCTGAGAGTTGGGGACCACTAGAACTACACTGAACTGTGCACAAGGGGCAAACGTGGCCTCGAACATGCAAGCTCTGTGCTCTGCCACTGGAGTCATCTTCTTAGAATATTAATTTAACAAAAATAAGTTCTAAGTCACTCCTGGGTATAGTTCATAAACTGGTAATAATTAAATGATTATGACTAAAGGTATTTGTACTCTGCTTGTGCCGGAGACTGAAAAATCAAGGACAGGTATAGTTTCAAACCTTGAACGACTCCACCATGAATTGAGAATCAACAGGAAACACTCCACAGACTCGGAACTCCCACTGTTCCAGCTGCTGAACCAGCTGTTTCATCACGGGCAGGTGTGTGTGCAACTCGATCTGACTGCCAAGAACACAAGCTTATTATTAGCATGAAATACATTCAACCCTCAATTATGGGATAAAAACTTTTCCCGGAAACTGTTTTAGGGGGCTTGAGAGATAGTATTGAGGGTGGGAACTTGCCTTGCACACAGCCAACCTGGGTTCGATCCCATAGGGTCCCTTGAGCACAGCCAGGAGTAATTCCTGAGCACAGGAGCTAGGAGTAACCCCTGAGCATCATCAGATATGGCACCTGCGGTCCCCCCCCCCAATTCTTTTTAAAGGAAGTCAATCCCTACAAGTAATATATCCAATTTTGCTTGTTTTAAGCCGCACGTGGGGATGCTTGAGGGTCTCTCTGAAACTTCTGGGAGGGCTCGAAGCTACTCAGAGTCCTACATGCAAAGCCTACTACATGCAAGGCCCACTACATGTAAAGCATGTCCCCAGCCCACTATATCTCTAGCCCCTATACTATATTCAATTTTTGTTTTTTTTTTTGGGGGGGGAAGGAACTACGTTATAGTGCTCAGGGCTTATTCCTGATTCTGTGCTCAGGGATGACTCTTGGCAGGCTCCAGGAACCATATATGGTAACAGGGATCACCTTAGCTGTGTGCAAGGCAAGTGCCCTACCCACTATAGTATCTCTCTGGCTCCCCCAATATTTTTTTTTCATTTTTTCATTTTGGGTCACACCTGGTGATGTGCAGGGGTTACTCCTGAATCTGCACTCACGAATTACTCCTGGCAATGCTCGGGGGACCATATGGGATGCATGGGTTCCAGGTCAGCCACATGCAAGGCAAACGCCCAACCCATTGTTCTATCACACCTGCTCCCCTGGGCCCCCCCCAAAATCTTTTTAGCAACTCTGGGTACACATGTACGTAAAAGGGGCATTCAAAGAAAATATACTGTCATCATCATCATCACCGTCCTCCTGTTGTTCATCGATTTGCTCCAGCAGGCCCAGTAACATCTCCATTGTGACAATTGTTACTGTATTTGGCATATGGAATATGTCACGGGGAGCTTGCCAGGCTCTGCTGTGCAGGCGAGATACTCTTCGGTAGCCTGCCGGGCTCTCCAAGAGGGGTGGAGGAATCAAACTCCAGTCGGCCATGTTGGCTGGTTGCACTAAAATTATTAAAAATGATTTTAAAACGGGCTGCAGTGACAGCACAGCGGTAGGGCATTTGCCATGCTCGCAGCCGGCCCAGCCAAACCGCGTTCAACTCCTCTGTCCCTCTAGGAAAGCCCGGCAACCTACCGAGAGTATATTGCCCACATGGCAAAGCCTGTCAAGCTACCTGTGACGTATTCGATATGATGAACACAGTAACAACAAGTCTCACAATGGATAAGTTACTGGGCCTGCTCAAGCAAATCAATGAACAACTAGAGGACAGTCACAGGGATTTCATTTATTTATTTATTTATTTATTATTATTATTATTTTTGCTTTTTGGGTCATACCCAGAGATGCTCAGGGTTTACTCCTGGCTCTGCACTCAGGAACCACTCCTGGCGGTGCTCAGGGGACCATATGGGATGCTGGGATTCGAACCTGGGTCGGGCCCATCCAAGGCAAACGCCCTACCCACTGTGCTATCGCAATGATCCAGCCCCAACAATGACAGATTTTAAAACAAATTTTTATTCTCTTAGTGTGAGGGGAGGAACTTTGGGGCAAACCCACTAGTATTCTGGGAGGATTCCTGAATCTGTACTAAAAATAACTCCTGGCAGTGCTTGGGGGATCCTATGTGGTACCAGGGATCCAAATTTGGGCTGGCAGAAAGTAAGGCAAGGGCTTTAGCTGCTGTACTATGGCCCTAAAAAACAAACAAACAAAAAATCTTGGTTTTGGCCCATACCTACTAGTATTCATTGACCCATATATGGTGCCAAGGACTGAATCTGTGTCTGCCACAGCATCCTACCCATCCTTCTGTCTCTCTAGCTCTAAAGCAAACCTTTCAAGAGCTGCATGACCGAAGCTGGAGTGATAGCACAGCAGGTAGGGTGTTTGCCTTGCACACAGCCGACCTGAGTTCGATTCCCAGCATCCCATATGGTCCCCTGAGCACTGCCAGGAGTGATTCCTGAGTGCAAAGCCAGGAGTAATTCCTGAGCATCACCAGGTGTGACCCGTAAAGCAAAAAAAAAAAAAATGCTGCATGACTTGGGGCCCAAGCAACAACAGACTGAGCATATGCTCTGCATGCAGAAAGCCTGGGCTCAGTTCCCAGCATGCTTTGGTCCCCCAAGCAGGGCTGGGAGCAACCTCCTGATAACAGATAGGAAGAGCCCCAGCCTCTAGCACCTCTGGATGTGGCCCCCAAACAGAAGAAAACAGACATTCCACAGCCCCTCATAGGATGACTGTCCACTGTCCAAGAATCTGGGGTAAAAGTAAATGAGATGCTAATTTCACTTTCTCCCACCAAGGACAGAACTGCACAACCCAGGGAAGATGACAATCTAATTACTGAGCTACCTGGACAGTCAAAAAGGATGCAGTCATCCTCGACATGGCCAAGGCAGTTCTCCAGCCACTCAAAGTTCTTGGCAAAGTACTCCATGCAAAACACCAGTCCTCCATTGGGACCGAAGCGCAGGGAGCCGTCCTCCAGCACATCCTCCACCTCGATCAGTTCCCAGATGTCTGCAAAGAATAAACAGGAAATGAGTGCCCATTCCAAAATATTTACATTCTTTAGTAATTACAACTGTGACAGTATCCACAGAAACTGAACAGGGGCTAGAAAGAAAAAACAAAAAACAAAAACAAAAAGACACCAAACAGGGGCCTGAGGAATAGAACAGTGGGTAAGGCGCTTGCCTTGCATGTGGACAACCCACGTTCAATCCTTGGCACCTCATATAGTTCCTCAGCTTCACCAGGAGTGATCCCTGAGCAGAGAGCCAGAAGTGCTGAACACAGCTGGGTGTGGCCCAAACCCCACCCCACCCATCAAGGAAAGAAAAAAAAAACCAACTAAATAAATTACAGTAGTCAAGGGAATCCCACTCTCAAGTAATGATGCATTACAGTCTCCCAGGTAGACTTAAACCAGAAACACAAGGGGCAGTACTCTTAGAAGGCTAGTAGTTGTACTTATAAAAGAAAGGGGCATGGCTGGACAGATAGTACAGGACACCCTGGAGTGACAGTAGTATCAGCAGCAAACCCTGAGCACCACCAGATGCGGCCCCAAAACAAAACAAAAGGACAAAGAGACAAGAAGGATTTAGGCCCAGTTCAAATTCCACCCCCACGTAAGCCCTGCAGGAGCAGAGCCAGTAGTGACCCCCAACATTTAAACCAAATGCTTCAATTCTTGTACTGTATTTTGATCTCTTTCTTCCTTTGGTTTTGCAACCACAGCTGGTGGTCAGGGGCATCCCGAAACTTGCTCTACATCCCTCTAAGTTAGCACCTGGCCTCTGATTTTTTTTTCTCCCCCTTTGGCCTCCCAGGCAGTGTTCAGGAGGCCCAGGGGCCAGAGAGCAAACGGCAGCGCCCCAAAATGAGATGATCACCTGGAGGGCTTAGGGGCTACAGGACTACGGTACCCAACAGTGCTCAGGGGGCCCTGCAGTGCTGGGCATTAAAACAGCACCCTGTATGTGCCAATTATTTGCTCCGAACCCCTCTACTGTCTTCCTGGCCTCCACACTTAATTCTGTGCAAAGATGTTAAGGAATAACACTACAGCATTAGGTAATATTCTAAGACTTAGAGGAAGCAAGAGTTGGGACTGACCCTTTTCTGCACACTCTCATGTACCTTTTGCATTCTCAATACTGTGCATATAAAACATCTGTTCTAAAACAAGTGAAGTGGGGCTGGAGCAATAGCACAGCGGGTAGGGCGTTTGCCTTGCATGCGGCCCAACCCGGGTTCAATTCCCAGCAACCCATATGGTCCCCTGAGCACAGCCAGGAGTAGTTCCTGAGTGCATGAACCAGGAGTAACCCTTGTGCATTGCTGAGTGTGACCCAAAATGCAAAATAAAATAAAATAAAATAAAAGAGGTGAAGCAAGGGACAGGGCAGGGAGGGATACTACAGTGGATAGGGCGTTCGCCTTGCACACTTTCAATCAGGGTTCAATCCCCGGCATCCATATGGTCTCCCCAAGCACCACCAGGAATTATTCCTGATTGCAGAGCCAGGAGTAATCCCTGTGCAGTGCCAGGTATGACCCATAAAACAAAGGCTGTGGAACTAAAGGGGCCCTTGAGCGGGACACGGAGAGTCCAGAGTGCAGGACACTCCCCTCATACAAGGCTGCCTCACTTTCAATCCCCGACCATCCTGGAAGCCTGCCAGGAGTGATCCCTGAGCACAGAGGCAGGACTCAGCCCTGAGCACCACCGGATGTGACCCCCAAAAGCAAAAAAATGCAGGAGCTGATACTCCACAATTACTGTACCACATCTGACAGAGTTCATAGTAGCAGGCAACCAATCTAGAGGGAAATATATATATATTTTTTACATATATATATAAAACGCACAAGGCTCAACACTTTACAAGATGTTAGTGATCTCGTATAGATGGGCTTAATGGCCCCTGGGTGGAATACACACTCTTTCCTCTAAGGATACATTTTTATAGCATTTTTAGCTATTATTATTATTATTATTATTAGTTTTAGTTTTTGGGTCATACATGTTGATGCACAGGAATTACTCCTGGCTCTGCACTCAGGAATTACTCCTGGCTAATGGTGCTCAGGGGACCATATGGGATGCTGGGTATCGAACCCAGGTTCGCCGCGTGCCAGGCAAACGTCCTACCCACTGTGCTATTGGTCCACTGCCCTGGCGGTTTTTCATATCAAACAATACAACAGAATAGATTATTTGACTTCTGCTTTGGGACAGGGATTGGGGTTCGGGATGGAACTATCCGAAATGTGGTGGTGAGAAGGTGTAATGGTGGTGGGATTGGAGTCCGAATATTGAATGTAATCAAATATTGTAAAACACTTTATAAAATTAAAAAATTGGGGGGTTGGAGCGATATGACAGCGGGCAGGGCGTTTACCTTGCAAGTGGCCGGCGAGGTTTGATTCCCAGCATCCCCTATGGTCCTCTGAGCACCACCAGGAGGAATTCCTGAGTGCAGAGCCAGGAGGAACCCCTGGGCATCACCGGTTGTGACCTAAAAAGCAAAAAATAATAATAATAATAATAATAATTTTTTAAAATGAGGGTGGAATAAGTTATTGCGCAATAAACACTCTCTGCTCTTCTCCCATAGCCCTGGCCGCCCGGCCCCTCACCTACTCCCATTTTCTTTTCTTAAATTTAATTTCATTTTTTAAATATATTTTTTAAATTTTTCCATTTTAAATTTGTTTTCTTAAATTTTTTACTTTTTAATGAATCACCGATACTCACCTGAATATCTCACCAAGCTCCCGGAAGAGAACAAGGCAGATTCTCCTACCCCGTGCTTGACTGTCCTCACCAGGGCCCGGCAGCTGAAGACCTCAGGCACCAGGCCAAAGTCATGCTGAGACCACTCTCCACATGCTTGGATGAGCCTCACGCATTTTGAAGGTGAAATTGCAATGAATTTAAATAAATTTGTATGTAAGAAAGTAGCAGTGATGGTCACAGCCCCTATTGGATTATTTTTATTGATTTTGGGGAGCAAAACGTATTGTAACATACATTATTTTTCAAAGGAAAAATATCTGGGAAAATTAAGTAAGATCATTATGTTACGTTTATCTTTTAGTTTTCCTACACTGAAAATTATTTGTACAATTAAAACACTAAAAGTCACTTGATCACTTGATCACTTGATACCCCGTTACTCATCCATTACTCGAGTGGGTATCAGTAACGTTTCCATTCAGCCCTGTTGCGTGCTAGCATAGCCCAATGGCATCTGCTCATTCTAGGAATATGCATAAAGGAACTGGCAGAGGAACTCAGGTGTGCGGGAGAGGGGCTGAGATCTCCAAGCCTGCACGGTTTGGGACTGGACCTTCCAGTCGCTAGACTGTTACACCCACCAACTGCCGTGTAACCCCAACAACTGCCAGGATACAGAGATTATCACTCCTAGTTCCCGGGAGAGTGCGGCCGCCTTTGCATTTGCGGCCATGCGACCTTTTATTTATGTTTATTTAGTTTTTCAGGCTACCTTAAATATCCCACCCACACGGCAGAACCTGACAAACTATCCGTGGTATATTCGATATGCCAAATCCAGCAAAAAAAAAAAAATGGATCTCATTCCCATGACCCTGAATATGGAAGAGTCGAGAAGGATGAGGAAGGAGAGGCTGATAAAATCTCAAGGCAGAACTAGGCTGCCAAAACGAAGAAAGACAAAAATTATTGTCTGTAATTTCAATGCACGTATGCCGGCATCTGATATATCCATCGAGCACCTGATGTTACAAGCGTGAAAGATCAAGTACAACATCATTGGTCTGACCGAAACGAGAAGGCATCAATCACACCACGCCGTTTTTGACACTGGAGAAGAACTGTTCCTTGGAACATGTGACAAAAGAGGCATCAGTGGTGTTGGTATCCTTATCAAAACAAACTTGGCCATGAGCATTGATTCATTCCAATGCCTAACAACCCGAATTGCATGATTACACTTGAATAGATGTGGCTCACTGCCAGCAGTTTCTATCTTTGTTGTGTATGTACCAACATCCAATTATGGTGAAGGAGAAATGGAGAAGTTCTACAAGGAGCTGGAAAAGTTCTATAAAGAAGACCACACTTTCTACAAGATCATTGCTGGTGATTTTAGTGCCAAGACAGGACCAAGAAAATCAGCCGATGAACTCTACTTCGGGACCCATGGCCTAGAATGAAATGAACAGGGTGACAGACTGTCTGAGTTCATCATGTCAACCAAGACCATCCATGGTGACTCACAATTCCAAAAGGCTGAATCTAAACGTTGGACATGGGAGTCTCCTGGTGGAGGGTTCCACAGCAAAACTGACCACATCATATTCAATCGACGGTTTTGCCTAACCGATGTTGCTCTTGTCACAAAATTCCAAACGGGATCAGACCACCGTCTCCCTCATGAAAAATTCTACCTCACAGAACAGGGAGAAAAGAATGCAAAGTTTAAGAAGAGAACTCCCAGAACGACCACCAACTGGGAGCTCTTTGGCTCTGTTGTGGCAACATGGGAAGATGCCATCATTAACAACAATGATGAGGAATACGATCAAATGATTCAGCAGCTCCAGAATTGTGCGAGGAATGCCAAGAGAGAGATAACCACAAAAAACCGCCTTCATTCGAACACTCTTGAACTTATTCGCCAACGTGGCTTGGCACATGCCTCAGGCAACTGCAAGCAAATGTCTGAGCTGGCAAAACAGTGCAGAGAAGAGATCAAGGATGACCTCAAAGACAGTATAGCAGCAGTGCTGGTAGATGTGGCAGAAGCTGGGAAAAGCATTTGTAATGCCCACTGTCCTTCACCAACTACAAGACCAAGATGACTGCCCTCCGACATCCTGACAAATCTATCACATCTTCCACAAGGGCAATGGAGATTATTCATGACTTCTACTCAGACCTCTTTAATAGCCACATCCACTTGCCCACATACCAAATTCCGCATGATGGATATGTCAATCCCAATGTTCTCCCTTCCGAAATA